TCAGAGCAACAAACTATAATTATTCAATAAAATCAAGAAAAATAAGAATTAGACAGGATTAAAAAAGAAGAACAACTTATGAAAATGAATATTTTTAATTTGAATTAAATTTCTACAACATATTTTTAAAATAAAAAGTTAAAAATTATGCAAAAAAAGGGTTTTAATTTTTAATTAACTAGATTGATTTATTATTTAATGTAATGCATTTTTAATTAAATATGTAGAAATTTATTTGTTATTTTAAAATATATTGTTATAAAAGTGGTATCAATTTATAATACTTTTTAATAATTAATAACATCATAATTATATTATACATAAAATATCTAAATTACTTATATAATTATATTAAAATTAATTTAACATGAAATATATTAAAATATAATTGATTTTTCTAAATATCTTTTTACCATTGGAATGTACATAATTAAAAAGTTATATTTATATTATTCAAAAAATTATTTTATCAATTTAGCTCTTTAATATAACATTTCTCATTAAAGATGCTCTTATAGAGGGCCACTAAGCACCTTTGGTTGTGTATAATTATAAAATGTGTCCAATGTGGTGGACTTGTTTATCTTGATAATTTATCAATTTCCTGCTATTATTTTCCTTTCTAATTGATTGTGTTTTTTTTTAAAAAAATTATTGTCTGAAAAAAATTAATAAGATATTCGAATATTGATTTAGTTTCTATTAGTTATTATTATTATTATTATTATTATTAACATGGGATTCGAATCAACTTACATGTACCTTGACTAATTTATGGATCTTGAAGTTAATAACTATGTAAATTTCCAATGACTCTAAGATTTGTGAGACTCAAACTGGTGATCTCTAGAGAAAGTTTTTATTGCTTCATATGCTCATGATGTGATATGCTATGAAAGCTCAGACTTTTTTAGGCATACAAAAAATATATAATATTGGGAAATTTATTGGTGTTGTCATTAAATTCAAAACTAAAATTATTTTAATTTTTTTTCTTGTAGAGATTTTTTTATTAATATATATATTTTTTATTTTAGTTAGCATAATATTTTTAAGTGGAATTATTATTTTTATTTTAAAAAAATATTTTATAATTGTTAAAGTAAGTTAATAAACAATCTCAAAATAGTATGTTCATTAGCTATATGATTTGCGCTTCATGATGGACTATATATTTTTTTCAAAAGAAAATTATATATACAAGTTTTTTTGACATGTTTTTATAGAAAATAAATTTTATATGCAAACACATAATCAAATAAATTGATAACTAGGTGTGTTAAAAAAAAAGAAGCATAAATGATAACTAGAAATAAAAAAAAATTCAAGAGATAGATATAAATTAAAATATTTTATCTCGTAAGATGGGACATTTACCTGGTTGTATTTTTTAAATTTTTTTATTAGTTATTTTTTTATTCAAGTAAATAATAATAAAAATAAACACATATATTAAATTGATTGAGTAAAATAAATGATAACTAAAAAAATAAAAAAAATCAAGAGATAGATATAAATCAAAATATTTTATCTCATAAGATGGGATATTTATCTTGTTGTATTTTTAAAATTTATTTATTAATTATTTTTTATTTAGTGAAATAATAATAAAAATAAACACACATATTAAATTGATTGAGTAAAATAAAAGGAAAAATAATTTTACAAGGCTGAAAATATTATAAATAATATCTAAAAAAAAATTTATTTGAAAAATTAAAGTTTACCTAGATAAAAGATCAAAAAAAGTATAGATTAATAAAAAAAATCTCTTCAAAAATTAAATACATAGAAAATGATTAAAAAAAAACATCATTTAAAAAAGGGCTCTACAAACAAAATAAAAAATAGAAGTACTATTAATTGAAATATAAATAAAAATAATAACTTTAAAAAAATAAAAAAAATATATTAATTAAAAAAAAAGCAAAGCATTATTAGGTCTCACAAGCTAGATCAGCTTGTCTGTCTTATTTTATTAGAGTAGCTATATTTGAGTCTTTATTTATTTATTTTTGCATTTAAGGCAAACATGTGTCACCTACCCTATTTTTTTTTGAAAAAAAATCAAGCAACATATAATCTAATTGTGTTTATTATGATAGCTAGAAAATTAGGATTTAAGGTTTTTTTTTTTAATCTAAGAACATATTTTTCAACCAATTCTTGACCCCGTTCACCTATAAAACAACCTAAGAATTGCAATAAACTTACATATGGCCTAAAAAAACTCAAAAAATCATCTCAAAAATTAAAATCAACCCAAAAAAAACTTTGTAAGCTCATATACATTTTTTCATGATATTTAAAGTTAAACAAAACATTTAATATTAACTCTCCTTATTAAATGAAACTATTTGACAGAAATATCAATTGTTTTGATAGTTTAAATTGGCATTAATGATATTTTTTTTCTCTACCATCAAAATCCAGTGACCTATTTCTTCCCTTTCAAATCATGAATTAAAAAATAATAAAAATAAATTTATACTAAAATTAAATTGAAAAAAATATTAAGGATTGAATATGTGTAATTATAAATTATAAGGGCTAAATTAAATGTTTTGAATGAATTTTGAAATTATCATCCATTTTAAGTGTTTTTCTACTTTATTCCAATGTCTTTTAATTTTATTCTTAGTCAACAAATTTATTTCAATTACTCTTGAATTTTACCTAAAAGGATGCAATTACATAGAAAAAAACCTGAAGATCAAATTAAAAAAATAAAAATTGTGAACAATATATCCATAGTGAAATGTAAGATGGTGCATAATACTAACTTAATAGTACTTGTTCCACACGTTTTTAGTTTTTTATTTAATATTTTATGTGATTGAAAACTAAAAAAATTATAAATATAATAAAATCATGTTAAAAATAAATTTAAAAATTTTAGTTAAAAAAATTAATTTCAATCAAACAATTTATTATAGTACTGTTTTTTCAATTGAGATACATAATAGTTAAAAAATATTAAGATGCAAATAAAAAATTATAATAACATTTAAGAATATGTCAAATTAAAAAATAAATGACTCTGGTAAATTTTAAATTTTTTTCAGAATGTAAAAAAACATCAAAAGGGTTAGGCCACCGCCTTACCCTTCTTTGATTTTTTTTTTTAAATGTAATAGATAATATGTTATTTGTCACAATTAAAAAAATCTGATCCTTCCTTAATTTTTTTTTAAAACTTTGTATGAAATTATTTTCAAACATGCCATCTTGAGATTGAACAATGTGCTAACTAACTTATCCATAATAGGATAATTGTTACATACCAACTTAAAAACTATATTATGGTATTTTTAATAGTTATATGAACAATAAAATCCTATATAACTTCACTTTTTTTATAAAGTTTATTTGATATTACATTTTAAATTATATTTATTTATGTGTTTGGGTTAAAAAAATATTAAAATTATATTTTTAGTGTTTTATAATAATTTTAATATACTAATATAAAAATATAAAAAATATTTTAAAAAACAAGATGCACACTAAATAAATATATAAGATATGAACTTAAACTACTTTCTTCCAAGAGCGTTTTTGATAGTGTGATAGTTATTGATTTTTAAATAAATTTTTATGTTAAAATATATATTAATAATTTTTTTTATTTTTAAAAATTATTTTTAATATCAGCACATTAAAATGATATAACATATATTAAATTTTAATAATTTTTTTTAAATTTTTTAAAAATACAGGTTAAATATATTTTCAAGCATTTATTAAATAAAAGTTTTCAACCAGTTTTTGTTTATGTTTACAATTTGACTTTAGTTAAAAGCCAGTAGAAATACAGTAAAGTCCTGGAATGAAAGTTTCGAAGCAGGAAACGTCATTATTGCGAGTTTTCTTTGAATTCGAATGCAAAAATAACAATATAGATAGCAAACGTGTTTGGCTACGTGGTAGCTTCCACGTTTAGGTGCCATCACAAGTATTAATTATTTAATACTTGATAAATTATTATTACTATTAATGAGAACTACTAGAATTTGCGAGCATGTCCGCATGCCGTTAAAAGCAACTCCCTGCTTTAACCTACGGACAATAATGAAGAGTTTTACTCTAGTGAACGGTTTTACTGTTTCTGTAAATAAAACAATATTTTTTATTATACCAATTTGGACTGATTGAATCAAATATTAAATTGAATTTAATTTAGTTAAAAAAATTATATTATTTTTATTTTTAATTATATTTTACTTAAAAAATTAGTATTTAATATTATTTAATAATATTATATAAATTAAAATAAGATCGGTTGATGATATAATATTTGTAGAATTTAATCCTAATCTTAATTTTATTCTTGATGATAATTTTACCTGATATTGTTGTGCTTTTACAACATTAATAAAATTATAGATAATTTAATAAAATAATAAATTTTTTTTTATGTTAAGTCATTTTATAATATAATAACAATAGTTAAATTTATAATATTTAAATTAAAAATCATCAATATTAATATATATTTTTAATTATTTTATAACTTCAATTTAAAAAATATTTTTATAATCAAACACATTAAACTATTTTTTATTCAACTTTAATTTTATCCATAATTTTAACCAAATATATATTTTTTTAATTAAAAATAATTTTTATAAAATAATTTTTTTAACTCCTATTTATAATAACTATCACAATATCAAATATTTTTTTATAATTTAAAAAATTATAAAACCTAGGTTTAATTTTTTTTTTTTTAAAAAATTGAACGATTATCTGGTGTGCTTCGATTTGGTTCTCGAGAATCGCGCATGGACTCGTTCATGGGATTTAAAAAAAGAAAAAAAGAAAAAAGTTGATCAACAGGCTGCTGTTTCATCTCTCTATTGGGCCGGGCTTATACCCGATCTGTTTTCAAGGCCGGGCCCTTGAATAAAAAGAAGAGGAGGAGGAAATTCAACCGCTTTCGTTGTTCTCTGTTCCCCATAAAAAATATAAGAACCGAAAGGGACCGATAAGCAAATCGCGAAAGTTCTTTCCATCTCTCAAACAGTACTAATATATAACAACACGACACTAATGCCCTAGCCTCCTCTCATCTCTCCATCTCTTGACATTTTAGGGTTCTCTTTCTCCTTGACAACTCTATTTCAAATCATTCAATCCCAAAATTGTTAGGGTTTGGTCGGATAGGATAGATTTGGATGGGTACGGAGAGGAAGAGGAAGGTGAGTTTATTCGACGTGGTTGACGAGACGTCGCTTTCTGCGAAGATCGTGAAATCGAACGGGGCGATGGGTAACAATAACAATGGAGGAAGTAGTTTGATAAATCGGTGGAATGGGAAGCCCTACTCACAGAGGTACTATGATATATTAGAGAAGAGGAAGAATTTGCCTGTTTGGCATCAAAAAGAGGATTTCTTACAAGTTTTGAAGAAAAATCAGGTTATCATCCTTGTTGGCGAGACTGGTAGTGGTAAAACCACTCAGGTTTGTTCCCTTTTCTTTTCTTTCCTTTTTTCTTGATTTGTCTACTGTATGTGTTTTGAGTTGTTTGTCTAATTATTTTAGTCACTGACTGATTGTTTTAATACTTTGCTTGCAAATCCTTTAATTTTCTGATTGACTATCGTAGTTAAATAGAATTTTAGCTTGAATAGTAGAGGTAATGAGAAAGATTATTGTTTTTGAGAAGGAAATGATGGATTATTTGTCTATTGCAGTTAGATGTATTTTCAATTTTTTTTTAAAGCAGCGTGTGGTTGCGAGTTAGCTGTTAGTGATATACTGTAATGGAAACTAGACAAGCATAGAAATAATTAACCGATGAAAAACTTGTGATGGTACAGATTCCTCAGTTTGTTTTGGAAGCTGTAGACTTAGAATCTCCGGATAAACGTAGGAAGATGATGATTGCATGTACCCAACCTCGAAGGGTGGCTGCAATGTCTGTTTCTCGACGTGTTGCTGAGGAGATGGATGTTACAATTGGCGAAGAGGTTGGTTATAGCATCCGTTTTGAAGACTGTAGCAGTGCGAGAACGGTTTTGAAGTGAGATGCTCGGCTCCCTTATGTCACTTTTTTCCCCTAAGATCCTTGGATTTAAGTCATGTGCTCATTTTTCTTCTCCTTTGTGGCAGGTATCTTACTGATGGTATGCTTTTAAGAGAGGCAATGACCGATCCACTTTTGGAACGGTACAAAGTAATAATTCTTGATGAGGCCCATGAAAGAACTCTATCAACAGATGTGCTATTTGGGCTTCTTAAAGAAGTGCTGAAAAATAGGCCTGACCTGAAGCTAGTTGTAATGAGTGCAACACTAGAGGCTGAGAAATTTCAGGGTTATTTTGGTGAAGCACCTCTTATGAAAGTTCCTGGCAGGCTTCATCCGGTTGAGATTTTTTATACCCAGGAGCCTGAGAGAGATTACCTAGAGGCAGCTATTCGGACAGTTGTCCAGATACACTTGTGTGAACCCCATGGGGACATACTTGTTTTCCTAACTGGTGAGGAGGAGATAGAAGATGCTTGCCGAAAAATAACAAAAGAAATTGGAAATTTAGGGGACCAAGTAGGGCCAGTGAAAATAGTGCCTCTATATTCTACGCTTCCACCGGCCATGCAGCAAAAAATATTTGAACCTGCTCCACCTCCACTACAGGAGGGTGGCCCGTCTGGAAGGAAGATTGTGGTGTCAACAAACATTGCAGAAACTTCTTTGACTATAGATGGTATTGTTTATGTTATTGACCCTGGCTTCTCAAAACAAAAGGTTTATAACCCACGAGTGCGGGTTGAGTCTTTGTTAGTTTCCCCCATATCAAAGGCTAGTGCTCACCAGAGATCAGGACGTGCTGGAAGAACTCAACCAGGCAAATGTTTTAGACTCTACACAGAGAAGAGTTTCAATCAGGATCTCCAGCCACAGACCTTTCCAGAAATATTGCGGTCAAACCTGGCAAATACAGTTCTAACGTTGAAGAAATTGGGGATTGATGATCTGGTGCACTTTGATTTCATGGATCCTCCTGCCCCTGAGACATTGATGCGAGCATTGGAGGTGTTGAATTATTTGGGAGCATTGGATGATGAGGGGAACATGACAAAGCTTGGGGAGATCATGAGTGAATTTCCCTTGGATCCTCAACTGTCAAAGATGCTCGTTGTGAGTCCTGAATTCAACTGTTCGAATGAAATTCTTTCAATTTCAGCCATGCTTTCAGGTATGTTTTTCTACCATGTTTATTCTCTTTATTGTTGTCTTGAGTCTGGTCTAAATGATATAGGGGGAATAGGTGCCATTGGGTTGCAGTATTATCAGATGCATCCCTCTCTATATGGCATGTGTGCAGCCAGTTTTCTGTGCACCACATTAGTTGTTTAACTGCATGCATGTGTTCGCCAGAATGCATGTGTGCAGTTAAAGAATTTGTGTGTCCTATTAGGTCGTCATCAGCAACTGTCTTGTATGGGTCCCATGCCCCCGGATGGCATGTACCATCGGATTCTAAGTAAGTGCTGATGCAGATAGTTGCAGTTTCTCAGTATTATCTCATGAAGCAAATGGTATCGTCTCGCCTGTTTGCATCTGCTGACCTACCATGGGCCTCTTCTGTGGTAACCAAATTCTTTCTTTAGTACCCAATTGCTTTGTCCGCCCTAGGGAGGCTCAAAAGGCTGCCGATGAAGCGAAGGCTAGGTTTGGGCACATTGATGGGGATCACCTCACGCTGCTGAATGTGTATCATGCATATAAGCAAAACAGTAAGTGCTTGTCTTACTCTCTCTCTTTTTAATGTTGATTCATCTGAATTAGTTGTCATTTTAGTTAGATTCTTACCATTGGCGAATGGATTGCAGATGAGGATCCATCTTGGTGCTATGAAAATTTTGTCAATCATAGAGCATTGAAGGCTGCTGACAATGTAAGACAACAGCTTGTGCGTATCATGGCCAGGTTTAACCTCAAGTTATGCAGCACTGACTTCAACAGCCGTGACTACTACATCAACATAAGAAAAGCTATATTAGCCGGATACTTCATGCAGGTTGCTCACCTTGAACGATCTGGACACTATTTGACAGTGAAAGACAACCAAGTATGTGGATAATATATATTGGTTATGTTATTTTTGCAGTGATGGTCTAATGTTCTTTTCGTTCAAGGCAAATTATTGAAAGATGATGTGTTAGATAACAATTTTGTTTTGTGGTGGTAATTTGTTTTTCAGGTGGTGCACCTGCATCCTTCAAATTGTTTGGATCACAAGCCAGAGTGGGTGATATACAATGAATATGTCTTGACCAGCCGGAATTATATACGGACTGTGCTAGACATTCGTGGGGAATGGTTAGTCTATCTGTCCTCCAGTCCTTGTCTTTCAATGTTGTCCCTCATTGCATGTTTATATTTATTTATTTATGTTATGTGCAGGTTGGTAGACATAGCACCACATTACTATGACTTGCAAAATTTCCCGCAATGTGAGGCCAAGCGGGTTCTTGAAAAGCTTTACAGGAAGCGGGAGAGGGAGAGGGAGGAGAACAGGAACAGAAAATGAATGTATTGACTGTTGAGTTGCTGGATCCTTCCAGTATTTCTTATCCTGAAACTAAAGCGTGGCTGTCCTTCAGAAGCTATCCAGTACTTGTGTGCAACACAACCACCACCTTTCTGGATCCAGTTGCCTGGCCAATCTGGCTTGTACCATTTCTTCAAATAGTAGCTTTAGGCATTTTTCATTTTCTCTGTACTTCAAGCATCTACATTTATTTTTGGATATGGGATTGTTGCCGTTTTAAGGTTTAGGCGTTAAACATTTAAAGAAATTGAAACGGGTATGAATTTGCTATGCTGTGGCCATGATCTTACTCTACTGGCATGCAGAAGTTTCGATACTAAAGTAGTAGTGAATTGAACCAGAGGGGGCGGGCCTCGTGCGAGCTTTTTCATGTCAACAGCTATCCCAATCTCGAAACCTACGATAATCATTATTATCACATGAAAAGCCGGCATGGTTATTACTAGCTTCAACGTTATTAGAGGGCTGCAATTATGTAAAGAGCAGGAGAGATAACGAGGTTCTTGTCGATATACACGTTTTATGGGGGGGCTTAAAGAGGTAACATTGCACGCTCTATGGAACTTGATCATGCTCGTCCTCCGGCCAGTTTTTGATAAAGTTCATCAATTTCCACCTGTACATCATTAAATAAGTTGGAAATTAATAGGCAATTGTTAAACAGGTGCAAGCACAGGAAGGGAGTTGTTCCATTTATTTACCCGATAGTGGCTAACCAACTTGTTTCTCTTCTTCTTCAAGGTTGCAGTCACCAAATCCTTTTCAATGTCGAAGGGGCAGGACTCCAGTATCACTCCCTTGATATGTTCAAAACCTTTCAACTGATAATAAGAAATGGGGAAGAATTGTTAAAAAAACAAAACTATCAGCTGACTTGAAGGAATTCAAATAACTTCCTTGAAAACTTTGAAAAGGTTAAAACGATTCTCTGAAGCTACAGATATAGCAAACAGCGGAAAGCCTGAGAGGAAGTTAGTGACAGGTCGCATTGGTTTGAAATTCAGGTTCAGCAGAGACTACCTTGTTTCTTTCAGCCGTAGTCTTTAGCTCTGAGAGGACAAGTTCCTGTAGCTGATGGAGAGAGCAGAGTTCGGTGAATGAACCCATATGGCCATTCAAGTACGCCCAGCTTTTTGTGTTTTCTTCATGAAGCACAACTACTGCAACCAGCATTGACTTGCAGCTGTCCCCGTAAATCCAAATCTTAACAAAGAACGTGATAACGCAATTTCAATCAAACCTCAACGCACCTAGCGATCACATTATAAAACTTTCAATTAAGAAGTTGAGTTGAAACGATGCTTACGTCCTCGACAATTGGAGTGTTATTGTACACATTTTCCAAGTACTCGATAGCAATATACTCTCCCTGAGAGAGTTTTATAAGATTTTTCTTCCTGTCAATAATCTTAACAACTCCATTTGGTAGAATTTCTCCTATGTCTCCTGAAAATGCCAAAGAATGAAAGAGTCAGTACTCCAATCTAGAGGCATTCTGTTTGACAAGAAACGATGACTGTTTAACCTGTATGGAACCACCCATCTTTCATGCTCTCTCTTGTCAGCTCTGGATTCTTGTAATAACCAGAGAAAAGAGTCTTCCCTCGGAGGCATATCTCGCCACAAGAAGGATTACCAAGCGGATCGTATCCCATCTCCGGAACCTCCTCCAGGCACAGTTCATTGTATACAGCTGCCGCCCCAACTGTACCCAGCATGCACATTTCATCTGGAAAGGCCAAGGTGGCTGGTCCACAGCTTTCGGTCAACCCTAAAGAAATGTAAGTGGATGAGAATTCGATTGCCTACAAGATGAGCATTAACCTAAGTAGCCATGCTGGCAGGATCAGAAGGGATTATCATTTATCAAGCTACTTGCAAGAGAAGGCAATCTCTGAGGATTATACTCAAAATGCTCAGACAAGATCATTCCTCCACTAAAATCATAGCATTGCATAAAGAAATGAATAAGATCTTCATAAGCATTAACCTAGTTGCCCTAAACTATATGCTTAAAGCAATGTTTCATCATTTTCCAATACAATTAATCTACATGGACTCCTAATGTTTGTCCTCATTGTTAAGGAAAGAGCTCGTTACCATAGCCTTGGATTACAAAGGCACAGGACGTGACCCGCAAGAACTCCTCCACCTCAGTGCTCAAGGATGCACCTCCACATATTATTAGTCGAAGGCGGCCACCTAACTTGGCTTTCACCTAATAAAGAGAAATCAATGATGAAAGCTTTATGGCCAAGACGATAGTAGTAATGCAGAGACAAATGATGGTAAATGGTTTTCAATCAGTCAATTGATTGACCAGCGTATTGAGGAACCATGAATTAGGGTTCCACAAATTTGGAAGCAGGAAACTGGTGCGGTCATTTCTGGGAGTTTCTTACAAGCTGTGTGCTATATTTTGAGTAAAATACGACTTATTGAGGGAGGCCAGATACAACCTTCCTGAAGGCTAACAGGTCTGCCAATGGCGATGCATATTTTTGTCTGTAACCCCGATTCATCCAGCCAAGCTTGCTGTATAACAACAGAAAAGGTACTTTCAGCATCTTTACAGAAATTGTTGTATCCAATCATTGCTAGCATGGAGAACAAATTTCATTACTTAAGAGAAGACCAACTTACTATCCATACAAAGTATCGAATATTTTCCTGCGTAGTGGACTGAGTTCTTGTAATGCCTTCTTTATACCTGAAATACAGATGAACCTAGTCTTAAATAAGAACTGCCAAACATCTTTCAAGATCAATTTATGTGCGCTTGATAGATTACTATAAGGATTTCCATGCCTTCGTGTATTTTTTCGAAGACTCGAGGTACACCAGCTAAACATGTTGGCTTCAACTCCATCAAATCATCCCTCAAAGCATTCAAATCCTTCAAATCAACCCATATAATCTTGAGAAACAATTATTGCTAATAAAGATCTGAGAATTTATAGGAAAATCGGTGAATGTGGAAAACTGAAAGTGAACACTCAAGTCATATGGTGAAATTGGTACTCAGTAGAGTGCATGGCTCTTTCATTTCCTTCTTTTTTCCTACTGCATCATTGTATCCTGCCAGCACGAATTCCATGTTTAACTATCACTCAATAGTCCATTACAACTACAACTATCAGTAGTCGTCATGATTTTTATGCGGATACCCTGTGATAATACCCTACAGAAAGTCCAGTTGTTTAACATTTCCTCCTCTCTTTCACTGACCAATAACCTGTTCAAAGTTCAAATAGTGGTGTTCCAGCAGCATACCCCATGATAATAGCCAACAGAAGCACCTTTCCGGAAAAAGTATTCCTCAATCATGCGATCAAGGACATGAGCAAGCGGCAGGAAAGATAGATACACATCATCAGGTGTCATCTGTTTTAAGTCACAAAATGTGTGTCAAAACAACAAGATAAATCCAGGTAGAAGAACAATACATGACCACAGCAACATATTCAAGCAGAGGACGCATGCAATCAAGATGAGAACTGATTTTTATATATGCCGATCGTTAGTTAAAGTTGTCAACTAAGATAATAAGGACAGGTACCGACATGCAAAGAAAAAAAAAACAAAAGGTTTCTCATGGTGAACTTTGGTTTACTGGATAATTTTAAGCCAGTAGAATCGATGCATTTTGTTTATTCAAACCAGTTTTTGCTTGTACATACAACTTCATACATAATAAGAGAACGCTAAATAAAAAAATACCATATTTATTTTCCCACCTTGTCTTCAAATTGTTCCATAAATAGATCAATGCCTCTGACAAAAGCTGCAACTGTTTCATGCAATATCACAACACCTTTGGGATCTCCACTGGTACCACTTGTGTACATAATTGTGCAAATGCTAGGAGGCTGAGGCGGGAATATCTCCGATGGATTCTCTTTTCCCTAATGCACAAGACTCTAAAAAACTAACCACAAAGTAACCAGGAAAAAAAGCAATATTGTATCTACTACATTCTATCAATTAATCGGAGCAGTACTCCCAGCAGTTGTAAGCAAGGAAGTGTCTCGTACCCTTCAGAACTTTATCAAGGTTAAAAATAAGTTTATCTAGTTTTATACAGTTCACTCTGATGCAAAATAATGTCAAATATAGTAGGAGTTTAAACAGCATATGAAAACCCTCTAGCCTCAACTATATATATTAACATTGCAACTATCTTCAATTATCATCGCTCGGAAAGAGAGGACCTGGATACGGATTAGACGAGGACTTTTCTCAATCTGAACAAGTACTATATCTCCACACAAGACAACTGATAAATTTCATGAAGGTGAAGTTATATCTAACCATGCATAGATACTCTTCCCAAGAGTATGATTTTATCCCCATTTGGGCTGCCCGATCCTTCTCTTCCTCCGTCAAAGAAGTGAAGCAAACAATTGCTGCAATCACAATTAAACTTAGTAGGATGTATTGTTAGAAATTTATTTTAAATAAACATGTCAATGAAGTACAAATTAAGAGCAGAGTAAACTTATTTTTAAGGTTAATAATTTACTGAAAATTATTCTCTAATAAAAATATTTTAATATAGATATTAAATTGTTTAAGATAAATTATTGGTATATGAAAAATTGAATTCAAAGAAATTATGATTGTCATGTTTTTTTTTTATAAAAAAACTAAAAAACCCTTAATCCATGATTAAGATATTATAAGAGTTTCTTAAATCTTATATGGAGAAGTTAAAGAGTCACAATTAATTTCATAGGGCATTAAAGTTTTTACAGCGGAAACAAGTGAAATTTAAGTTTAAGTCGTACATCCTCACTGACACGGTTATAATTTTTTAAATGGAAGGATAAATTATTAATAAATATTTAATATTATATATTATATAGATATGTGTTATATAAAAAAATGTATTAATTCAAGTTAATTAAAATTAATTTAAGAATTCTTAAAATAAGATATGTGTTATATAAAAAAATGTATTAACTCAAGTTAATCAAAATTAATTTAAGATTTTTTAAAATAAAAAAATTTATATTATAATTATTCTCTTTAAGATTTTATATTTTAAAACTGTTTTATGATAATTTTATTTTTAATCTCATTAAAAATATCTTTATCAATATATGCAACAAAATTTTATTTATCTATTTCTAAATCTTCTAAAGACTACAAAAGTTCTTGGCAATAATTCTATGTTGACATATGATACATAACATCTAAAATCATAGCTTAAAAGAATTGTCACAAATTGATGTTGTTCTTTCTGACTTATTGTTTTATACAAGTGAATTAAATATAAATATTAAATATTTTTTTTTAATTTATTTATTATGTTTGTAATTTTTTTAGTTGTCCTTTTAATCACTAGTAAATTCATCACCATCATTTTTCATATGAAATTCATGGCAAAATACTAATCAATTCATTAAAACTTATTTCAATTCATATTTATTAGTATATAATATTACTCATACATATATTAATTCAACAAACCTATAAATTATTATAAAATCTAATATTTTCAATAACTAATTAATATAGAAAAAAGAAGCTAACAAGTAGCTAACAAAAAAATTATTTTGACAAAAAAATTAACGGGATAATAGCCCCCCTTTGCAACTATGTGGCTTCGCCAATGTACATCCTTACTCTCTAACTTGACGTAGGTTCGAGTCCTGAGATCTAGGTTTGGACTTACAATAATTTTTTTGCTTATAATTTTTTTTTTGCCAAATTATTTTTGTTTAGCTAGCATATGAATAAACAATAATCTTTCTTTTTTTGAACACTTTTGTTTTATAAGTAAAAATATCTAGTTTTTAAGGCAAAAACTACCTGGTTTATCTTTTTATGGTAGGCAATTAAAGTAAAATAATGATAATTAATTCAATTAATTATCACAATTAACTTTGCATCAATTTTGGTTTAGAAAATCAATATAAAAAAGGATTGAATGATAAATTATTTATACACACAAAGTAGTAGCTCTTCTGTCTTCTCTCATTTGCTTTCCAAACATTTCAACTCTTTTTTTTAATAGTCATTCTAGATCTTAATGGTATTGTTGGAATCTTGAAAAGCTAATTACAATCAACTTTTTTACACCAAATGATGAGTAATAAAGCTTAAAAGCAAAGTACACAATTCTTGAAAATTATATGATCCTATGGGCTTCAATAAGTAAATAAGTATACTAAACAATTTATTTAATATATTGCTTTTTTTACATGTATGTTTATATAAAAAAGATTTATTTGTTCAAGTAGTTTGTATACTTGCTAGTTACTTTATTTTAAAAGGTCAAATTGCATACAACATATTTAATGATAATGTTAAACTATTTATTGCAACTCTCGTATATTTAGGCGAACAAAATTAAACCTATAAAACTTTAATTAAATTTTGATAACAATCTTAAGGCTTTATCATTTTATTTTTTTAATTGTTTATGTTTAATTTAATTTATGATAACATCGTTTATAAATAATAAAAATAATAATTATAAGTTAGAAATTATCTCCTTAATTTTTTTTGTTGAATTTTTTATCTACTATAATTCTTTGTCATTTGCAAGTTTAAAACCAAATTTTAATCATATACATTTGGATGTTATTTGAGAAAGTTTACATAGACTTCAACTCGAGATCTGGTTACTATACTTAATGTTACTTTGGTAATACTATTTCGGTCACCGTCTGTGATGTATAGTAAGAAAACCAAAAAAATTCAATGTATTAAACTTTAAAAGGTGACAAAAAAAGATGTCTTTCTATCTAACCACTTTGAACTAGACAAAGATATTGTCTCAAGAAGCATCAAATCTATTAGATAGTGAATCCAATCCTATCATTGTGCGGTTGTAAATGTATGAAATTATAGTGATTTCATATGCAAGAACTATATCTTGAATGAATTTGATAACACACTATATGATGTGTATTAGGAGTGTTAAAAAAAACCAACCAATCGATTAAACAAAAAAACCAAGAAAATATTAACTGAAAAAACTAAACTGATAGGAAAAATCAAATAAATCAATTAAAAAATAAAAAATCACTCGGTTCGATTTGGTTCCAGTTTAAAAAAGCTTAAACCAATTGAACGGGGCCAAACTGAATCGGTTTAATTGAATCTAAAAAAAAGGTATGAAAACTAAATATCCTAACCCTTCTAACCGCCTCTTTCATTTCCTCTTTCCCCCTTTCCAGGCCACCCCACCCCTCCTTCCCTCTCCTTCCCCTCTGTTCTCTTTTCTCTCAGTCATTCCACCACAGATGCAAAGCATAAGGACGTGGAGATTGCTTTATAGGAAGTAACAATCAGTTGCTAAATGTAGATGTGTGTTTCAAATTAAGGTATACAACGACTTATTTTGATTTTTTCATCCTTGGATAACCTTCATGGGCAATCTCCATGTCCCAGATTAAGGTATACAACGACAACAACAAAAACATTTTGTTTTTTCTTTGGTTTTTAATGCTAAAAAACTGACTCGAACCGAACCGTGAACACCCCTAGTGTGTATAGTTCAATCAAGAGTATAAAGACATTATGTAGAGCTTTGGATTGGAAATACAAAGCTAGAGATGTTGGTATAAAAGAAATTGATAGTCGATAAATTTTTGGATTTTAAGATGATCGATTTAAGGATTATAATAAGACAAGTTCAAGAGTTTTAATTTATATTGCATGATATTTATGATGAAAGAATAATTTTGAGTGAATCCTTTCAAGTAGCTATAATTATAAAAAGAAATGCACATTTTCCTTTTAAATTTAAGAACTACCTTAAACATAAATGTAAAAACATGAGAGTTAAAGACTTCATTTTAAGGTTGAGGATAAAAGAGGACACTAAGTTCTTTGAAAAAAGAGCCAACTTTTCCACTATAGCCCCTAATACAAACATTGTTGAATGAGTTATCTAAAAAACCTGAAGAAAAGGCTTTTTATAAAAAGGAAAGGAATCGTCAAAAAAATTCAATAGAAAGAGCTTTATATGCATAAGATTAGACACCAAACCAAGAATTGTATAAACAAATATCAATATGAAAATCCTAAAAAGAAATGACTATTTAAGCCAATATCATTAAGGTTGATAAATGATGTGTTAAATTGAATTTGTTTATTTTTGTTTTCAAAGTCAAATCGACAAAAAATCCCAAGGAGCTATGGGTTAATACTAGTGCAACAAGACATGTATGCGCCGATAAGAAAATGTTTTCCACCTATAAAGAAGTGGATGATGAACTTTTATATATGAAGAATTCATTAATCTCTAAGGTATTGGGCATCGGGAACATCATACTAAACATGACTTAAAGAAAGCTTCTCACCCTCAACAATATGGTTCATGTTACTGATACTAGAAAAGACTTGGTATTTGTCTTATTGTTAAGTAAAATAATTTTAAAATGATAGTTAAGAGTACCAAATTTATACTCACTAAAAATGTGATGTTTGTTGAAAATGATGCCTATCTTTGTGATGACCTCTTCAAAATAAATTCAAAAACCATTATAACAAATAATGAAATGAATAATAATAATGATGCCTCATCTTCTTAATTGCTTGAATCTTGTGATATATGGCATGATATGTTAGAACATGTGAACTATAATCTATACAAAGTTTAATTAATATTGAATATTTACCAAGTATAGTTTTTAAGAAAAATCATAAGTGTTAGGTTTGTGCAGAATCAAAATTTATAAAAAACAATTAAAAGAACTAATGAAAACAAATTCATAAAACCTTTTTTTAATTAAATCTGGTATTGGTGATTTAAATTTTATGTAAGCTAGGGGTGAGAAAAATAAATATTACATTATTTTTATAGATGATTGCATAAGGTATTATAATATTGTTTTTGCTAAAAAACAAAGATGAGGCTCTTAAAATATTTAAACATTACAAGAATAAAGTTAAAAATTAGCTTAATAAAAAGATAAAGATACTAAGCATGATAGAAGAGGAGTCTACGAAGCACCTTTTAGTGAATTTTGCTTTCTTAAATGGTATTATCCATCAAACTATTGCTTCTTATTCACATAAATAACATGACATTGTTGAAAGAAAAAAACAAAACAAAATAAGTAATGAATATAATGTTGATATGTTCTAGAGCACCTCGAATCTTATGGAGTGAGGTAATTCCGACTGCCAATTATATACTTAATAAAGTACCTCATGAAAAGTTATAGAAAACACCATATAAATTGTAAAAAAATAGAATATCTTCCTATAAATACCTCAAAATATAAGGGTGTCTTGTAATAGTGGTACTACCAAGTCCTAGAAAGGTCAATATAGAACCTAAAATTATGAATTGTGTTTTTATTAGATATGTTTACAATAAAAGTGCATGTAAATTTCTCGTATACAAGTCAAGTAATAAGGATATTCATCATAATACAATAATAAAATC